TTAAAATCCCGCGCAATCATTACAGTCGCCACCCCAGGGTCGTCTTGGGTCAGGGATAGGCACAGGAACATACGTAAGCGGAGGACCATTGTCATACCATGTTGAATCAGTAACATCCTTACCACACAATGGATGCAGACAACCAGGCTGTTGGCACAAGTTCAACATGAAAACATAGTTTTCAGGAAGTTGGCTGTTCATGTGCCGTTCTCGGACTTGCCATACATCTTCAAAGTACTTGTACAGTTCAGGTTTGGTTAATTGCAATTGTTTCTTCTCCTTGGCATTTCCTCTTAAAAATGAGAGAAGGCTTGGTCGTTTTTGATGAAGTGCTTCATCCCTACCCCCTTTGAACAACTGCAGCGTTGCCCTGCAACATGGGGCGCCGTCAACTCTGTCTATGTACACGTCCGTCGCGATATCCAAATTTTCCGACAACTTCTCTTTATTCAAGCCGTTTGCATCAAAATTGCTACCTGCTAACGTTGATGGAATAAAAAGATTGCCATGGGCCTGTGCAATGCACCCATTCATAAGCTCAACCTCACTGAAATAAGAACCACCACTGTGTCTTGTTGATATGATTGAGCACACTCTCTGCTTTAAGATATGTCTTTCTGTCCATAAGAATTGTACTTCCATATGTCCAGGCCCTTCATCGGTAGCACCATCCACGCGAATACATTCGATCGACTTGTTCTTTAGATGGTCGGGGAATTTTTCTTCCAACATATTTAGATCAATGAAATGCTGTATAGGGTTCTTAGGGAACGTGAAATGAGGCTTAACTACTCCAGCGCATGATCTCTCTGTGGTCTCGGATTCCATGAACAGATAAGATGTGGTTTTTATCACGGACTGATACGGGTTCACAAAGTCTGTTCGTGTCGTAAGTGAGGGCATGTTGTCGGCAGTAATACATTTCCCTTGGCGGTGCGTGAATGTAGTGTCCAGCCTAAATCCAGCTTGATCATCTCGGTTTAACAGGATCTTATTCTTGCCATCCTTGAGCTGGATCATATCAAGTCCTTTATAAAAGGCGCTAGACCAGTGTGCATCTGGGTTTAATTTTATTGAGAAACCTTTCCGAGATTTCCGGCATGTCACTCGGGCAACTCCTTTGTATCGACGAGCAGATATTCGCCGCTTGCTGCGTACTACGCACAATTGCACAACAGTTCCATAGCTAATCTTGCAATCATATTTGGTTTGGAGGTATTCTTGGATACTTCTATACGTAACCTTTTTACCCCTTGCACGAGCACCATCGAATGTAAGTACGCCAGTTCTCCGCCAAGCATCTGCTTCCACCCTCTTCGACTTAACAAACTCTTCACAGGGGCACCCAACGACAATTTTCGGAAAATTATCTGTTCGGAAGACGATTTGAGGTCTAGAATTTTCGGATCATTTTCTGACAAATTTCTTGCTTGCCTGCCTCTCCTAGGATTTTCGAAGTTCAAAAAAATCGTATAATTGTCCATTTTTAACGGATTTTTACCCTGAAAAGGTCACCTAGAATTTTCGGGAGCGTTTTTTCTGGCTGAAATTTTCGAAAAGGTAAATTTTGATCCCTATAATTTTCGGATCACTATACTTTCAGCTAGGAAATCCGAACAGATGAGAAATTTTTAGGGGATAAAAATAAGCCTTTATCTACCGTGTAAATACTAAAGTACGTTCAACAATGCAATGTTTATGTGGTTTTGAACTATACTCTCGTTGGGTGCCCCTCTCTTCAATGTCTTTGCCTATTGTTGGGTGCTGCCGAATGACTTTACTTACTCTCTTAGGTATCCTTCTCTTTAAGACACGTTGAGACGCTCGCTCTTTTGCGGCAATTCTCTTAGCTCGTTGTCTGATAGCACGCCTTGCTGCCTGAATTTCCTGCTTTCTTTCTTCACTCAGGAGTGGCTGACTTGCAATTGTTACTGGCCCTTGATACTCACTTTCAGTTTCTGAGACAACTTCCTCCCCTTCAATCATAAGTGGTTGCTTTCTCGTGTATTCAAGAAATGCCTGACGGGATATTTCAATATGGCCGTTTTATGGGTTTCTATGTAAACGGTTCAGTCTCTTACTTCAGTCTCTTCCCCTTATTTTTCTCCGGTTCGGTGGACGTTTTGGTTTAGAAGTCACCCTAATCGCGTTTACTTTTTTCGTTATGAGCTCGCTGTTTAACCCGATCATCTACTGCAGCTCGCGTTCAGGAGGCGTGACAGGAATTTCACGCCTTTTACCATTCATTATTAATTAAGAGGCTCCACTGATGATGAAAAACATGCCAGACACATTTAGCATCGATTACGGGTGTTTACAAATATCTCCTTTCGAAACAGTGATTTTATAATGTTTCTGGGCCATTTTTCGAAATAAAATCGGCAAACATGCACAAGAAAACATTTTCCTAATCAAAATACCAAAAATCCTACGTGTGTTGCGCAAGATGTACCTTATGGTATGAAAGCGTACGTTTAATGGAAACGTCTACGTGTCAACGACTTGTCAATGTCGGCAACTTAAACGAAGCCCGTTGTCAACGCAAATTTTAAAAAACTATTGTCTAACGACCAATCAAACGCCTGCGTTGCTGGTACAACGCGCCCCGTGAACGCGAGCTGCAGTGATGTTATTACAGTCCCTCTATTTTTCTCGCCCTCGCCCCCTCTCCCCCTCCCCCCCCGAGCATAATCCCCGACGCCCGCCCCCTCCGTACATTTGAAAATCAAGATAGCCGTGACGGTAAGACGCGGTATATCTAAACGATCTCACGAAAAAATAGGGGACTGTGAACAGTCTATTTCCAAGATAACTGTTAAGATTACCTGTAAATTGCCAGGGAGACAAATAACTACAAAAAGAGCGTGAACTGCTGCAATGATTTGAAGGAATACCGTGGTAGATTGAACTGCACTGGTTGGAAGTGAAGCTTGCTTGTTGATAAGTACATATACCGTTCGTGACTGAAATCGACGAATATAGCACCTTGACAGAGAAAACGAGGGGAAATTATGAACTTGCTGATTGCCAATGAAATCTTTTGCATTGTTAAGCAACGGAGTCAGCTTTTAAAAACCATGAACAAAGCACAACATTGTTTAGTGACTTTAGTAGCAATTTCCAAATGGTCCTCACTTTGGTTTACTAGCTTGGAACAAACGCCACTAATAATAATAATTAGCAATTTAATTGCTAATTATTATTATTTATTAAAATGAATGAGGCTGAGTAGGATATGAAGAATTAAGCAGATCGAGGAGGGTGTTATCTTCGGGAGAGCCGTGGATAACACCCTCCTCGATCTGCTTCATTCTTCATATCCCTACTCAGCCTCATCCATTAACTGCTGATTAAACGCAAGTATATGGCAGTATATATACCCGTAACTGTAAAATGGACTATTCTGAATGAAGAAGAGAACATTTGATGTTACCATATTTAGCGCAGTTAAAATCACTGTTTTCGCATCGTGGTTTCCTCTTGATCTGGTTTTCAAATAAACCCTGTGCCAAGCCCAGATTGGTCCATCCAGCATACCCGTCCCATTATATTCGCTCCTTTGAAGGAAGTTGGATTTCAACGAGTCACGTGTAACTAATGGACGCACATGCCTAGTCCGAGTTTTACTCGGCTGGGCGTGCCATAGTGTCTATATGGAGAACGGTGGACCCGGCTAGGCGGATCGCCCTTCTAGCCGAGCTAACTTTTTGGTTTCTCATGTAAACGGTGCGCCAGGTTTTGTAACGAAATATAGGAAAAGCTGGCTCGCACAGGGTAGCTCGGCTTCTACCAGGAACAAGTTTTGTCCATATAAACGGGTTCTTAAGCAACTCTGTGCAGCAAGCTTTGGATTAAATGTCTCCAGGTCTCCCATGATAGTCTCCATCGGGCAATCAAGTTTTATCGCTTTTGAACCACTGTTCCAAGTTCGAAGGTGAAAATTGAGTTGGACGGTTATGAGTTAAAAGTTGTACTTATCAAAGTTCCGTAAAAATTACTCCTATCTACTCCACATTCGTAGGACCAGTAAAAAAGTATTTAGAGCTAATTCCTTTTTTTCTCACATTCTAAAAGTTAAATTATGTCTTTCCTTTATTTGAAGGCTACAATTGTGCAAACAATGCTCGCTTGGACACACCCAGAGATCAGCGCACTTTTAACATCGTACCTGCAAACAGCAACTATCAGCTAGGAAAAGAAGGCGTTGGCCCTTGCCTTAAGGATGCTTTTAAAGACATTTTGCTTGTTGTTGTCTACAACTACCCGTTTTACGACAGTATACCTCACCTCAGCGCGCTTTACAGACCAGCCTTTCCTCATCTTTTATTCTGCGGACCTTCTCATAACACAACTCGCTCTGGAATCCTCACTGTTAATATCTACAGAGGTATTCTGGGATATGAGTGCCTTGGAAGAGCGACACGTGAGCATCCGGGATACAGGGGCTATTTTTACATCAGTGATGACGTAATTCTTAATTATTGGAATTTCCCGGATTTTGACCGGGAAAAGATATGGGAGTCGTCGTTTTCTTTTGGATCGACTCCGGTTTACGAACCCGCGCGCACTGATTGGTACTGGTGGATTTCCCCGTACGGTTTAAATAACTGCCGAAGAGCTTGCGAAGATGTGGCGAATATGAATTTCGTTGAAAAGAAACTCAACGTTAAGTATCACCTAGGTACTCTCTCCAAGAACAGCAATGGAAGCCTGCGCTGCTTCAGCGGTCGCTCGGACATTTTGTACATTCCAAGAAAGCACGCAAAAGCGTTTTCAATTCTGGCGGGAACGTTTTATGAACAGAAGGTTTTCTTGGAAATTGCTATACCCACAATAATTCGGTTCTTGGAACGAAGCGAGAACATAGGCCGACTTCCAGGCTATTATATACCGGGAGATGTCAGAAAGAATGATTTTCGAGTGACTGATAGCAGGTATTTCTGGTTTGTATATTTTCCAAAAAACAAGATATGGTTCATTCATCCTTTTAAACTTCATGGACAAGAAATGGACAAGAAATTTAACTTAGTTATGTTAAAATTCATTCTCATAGAAAAAGTGAGATCGCAAACAAGCTGCGCACCCAGTGTGAGGCAGACAAAAAACGTAATCTGACAGCAGTCATTTAAGGTCTTAGCGGCAGTGGGGGGCGGGGTAGGGGGACGCAGTATAGCATCAGAAGTGTTCTCTCTTTTTCTGTGTAAACCATAGTGAAGATTGAATTAAATTAGAAGCCTCGTTGTCCCCGAGAAGACTGGTACGAATTCTATTTGGTGACCTAACCAAGGGATTCTCTTGAAGGTTGAACTTAGTGAAAAGGAGTTTTTACATTTACCAAAAAACCTTCCGCAGTTTGACACGGTACACAAATCAATTGAAAATAATAATTATACTAATAATAAAGATACTCCTTTTGTTATTAATCGTGGAGTGTTACTCTTGCGCTGAGCTTGCTCTAGAAACTAAGTTGACTTTTACAGCATATCTACAACGCATACAAAAATAATCCAGTGTAACAAGTTCATAGGCGAATTCGCAAACTGAAATCTGAACTAGTAGAACCTGTTTCGAGAAGTCTAAGAGCGCTTTCCAAAAGTCAAAACTGGCCAGCCGCGCGAACCATGGCCAGATGTCCTTTTGACAATGACATTTAAACGGATTTTTGCTGAAAAGCCATCGCCTTCACACAAATTATTTAGGATTTGACTGATCTGGTTGGATACCCTTGATTAAAAGTGAAATACCCAATGCGACGGGAATGGCCTGACAAATGGAAAGCGCCCTGAGAAAAAGAAGCATCGCCCCTCGCATTTTTCTTCCACCTCTCAGTTTATAAAAAGCGCATGCGCACGCAGAGGGTAATTGCAAAGAAGGGGAAACCAACTGACTAGTCAGTGATCTCTTTTGGAGATTTACCTCGTATTAGAGACCAGCTCGAAGATGCTCTCTCGAAGAGCTTTTCAAATGTCTCCTCTCTTGTCTTTCATTCCCACTGCTACCTCTACAGCTTTCAGAGGCCTCCTAATTAATACCAGCTCCAATGCGCCCTCGATTGTTAGGGTTTTAAAGTTCTTCTTCTTGATCATCAGCACGTTCACTCGAGCTCCCCTGTCTGCTTACCGGTCCTTTGTTCCACTCACGAACCGGATCTTCATTGAAATCATAAGTAGCAAGTCCATAGTAGCCTCCACAGGAAGCGCAGGAATCTTTACCGAGTACGCGTTTGATGTACACATTAGTGGGCACAATACGACAATAGAAACCAGCAGCGAGTAACATGGGTGATATGATCGGATCCCTTACGGATACCTGGTCATCGTGACTTGATTCCATCCCTTCTTGAGGCACGTAAGGCATACAGAGCAGATGAAGAACAGCTATTGCCAGTGAAAGAGCCAGAACCTCCGGAATGGCTTGAGCGTGTGGAGAAATGTACACTTTGCTGTTCGTCATGTTCAGTCTCATCACTGTGTTGGAGTCCACTTTAATCACAAAGATTCCGCCCGATTTTCTCACAAGGCACCACCCTTGTTCACGAAACAGTTTAAAAAACCTGATGCTAACGAACCTATTGACTACGTATTTTTTCGCATCCTTTGGTGTAATTTCCTCCTGCCATTTTCCGATACACACGCCCCAGTCTTTATTCTCTCCTCGAATAAGCATGGCTCTCTCGCCTTCTGTTTGATTCAGGACTATGCACTTGTTTGCGTCTTGAACGGCTTCTGCCTGAGGCAATACGCTTTGGTTGATGGTATGAGCTGAAGCAACGACTTGCTGTTCCCGATTTAGGACCTCAACAGCAGATATCAGTCCATAACTGGAATGGACTATTCGATAGTTGAACGCGTCTTTTTCTCTCCAGTCAATTATTTTTTCTGAAGATGAACTGCACACCAAGATCGGGTTTGCCAGATCTTTAGGAGGTAGCACAAGTTGGGGATTATTAAGAACCCCCGAGGGATGCTTATGAGCATAGAAAGTGCCAGTTTTAAATTCAAAGTTGTATTCTTGGACAGCTGCAGGACTGATTATCATCGTTATCTGCGCCATATACTGACCATCGTCATCTTTGAAGGAAACTGCAACAGAAGCAGTTAACGCCCCGCTGACCGGAGCAGCATCGAGGAATGTTAGCACACTCACGGAGGATTGAGCAATAAACTCACTTTGCAAAAGTAACTTTTTGCGGTATATCTTAGCCGTGAGTGTGTGGTTTTCGCCATTATCTACACTGAAACGCGTTGTGTTTAGATTCTTTACCGCACGGTTACCTTCAAAGGAAAATAATGAAAAACTTTTAGAGTTATTACAGCGGACAAAACACCAAGGGTGGTGATAACTAACCAGTGACGGATCCGGACCTTCAGGAAAGGAGGGGAGGGGGGGGGGGGGAGGCGGTCACCCAGACCCTGAGATAAGGGGGGAGCGACGGGCCCCCTTGGCCCATCCCCTGGATCTGTCACTGCTAACAAACGAAATGGACAGAAGTGTTCGTCATCTCAAGCGCTCATGGGAGCAGAGTCTCCCTTTGCTTCCCTGAGAGTGTAGAAGAAAAGGAAGCTCTGCGCATGCCTATATAAATCCGGTCAAGCCTTTGAAGTCTCCGATGCCCAAACTTCTGGTCTAGTCAATCTTGTTCTCTATCATCAAACTAGTTTTCCGGGATTATTAAACGTTTCCGGGAAACTGCCCACCTACCCCTCCCCTTAACCAATATTTTTCCTTAAGTGAGAGGGAAGTGTTAATGTTGGCTTAGGGGATGGGTAGGTGGCCAGCTTTATTGATAAACTGATGGTCATAACTTAGCTCACTGTACCAAGCGCATGGATATTACTTGATTCATGCAGAGTCTTTCTCGAGTACGAAAACAATCATCGACAAGAGAAAGAAAGGCTCTACTAGCAGGGCGGGGGTGTAAATTGCAAATTTTGTGCTCAATAACAGAGTTCAGGACGGAAACACACTATAATTTTCACCCACAGGAATTGCTAAAGATTGTTGTGTATAAAGTGATATACTATAAATTAAATAAAAACAAAACATGAAAAACGCCGGCATTCTTTTTCAACAGACCATTGTTCAGTTATGAGCATTAGTACCCTAGCCTCTGAGCGAACGTGAGGCTGAGGTTGATCTTGTTTTGACACAAACTTCTTTCCTTTTCTTAGTGAAAATCATGCATGCTAACTGAAATATTAGTTACCATAATAATAATAATAATAATAATAATAATAAATAATGATGATTTGGAGGTAGCACATCCACAAAGTGGTTATTCGTCTACCCGATTCCTGATCGAATTGGAATTTGGACATCAGTGTTGGTTTTTGAGAAGAGGGGAAAACCGGTGTACCCGGAGAAAAACCTCTCGGAGCAAAGGAGAGAACCAACAACAAACTCAACCCACATATGGCGTCGACGCCGGGATTTGAACCCGGGCCACATTGGTGGGAGGCGAGCGCTCTCACCACTGCGCCAGGGTTGTATCAAAACAAGGTCAACTCCAGCTTCGTTTGCACCCGTAACTGTAAATGGACTATTCTAATTGTAGAAGGGAACATTTGATGTTAGCATATTCAGCGCAGTTAAAATCACTTTTTTCGTATGGTTTTCGCAAGTTTTCAAATAAAGCCGGCGCCAAGCCCAAATTGGTCCATCCAGCATATATATACCCGTCCCGTTATATTCGCTCCTTTGAAGGAGGATGGATTTCAACGGATCACGTGTAACCCTCAATGGACTGGCTTGGGTGAATAGTTTCATACAAATCACTGTGCAGTCAAACCTGTAGTAAGCGGACCTCTATTAATCGGTCACTTACCAAAGTCCCGGAAATCATTTCCCTTAATTACGATTTATTAGAGAGATGTAATAGAGAGGTTAAATAGAGACCTTTTAAAGAGCGAGGTTTTTTGGCAGTTCCCGCGAACCGCAAACGTTAAGAAGTCACGTAACTAGTGCCTTCCCGTCACGTTTGCGGTTTGAGGTTCACGTTTGTACGGCTATCTTTAAAATAAGGAACGGGGAATCGGGGAACGGAAATGGCGAACGGGGAACGGGGAATCTTTAAAAAGGGGAATCTTTAAAGCGTTTACAAAAGATTCCCGCTTTTAAAGATTCCCTGTTTTACAGATTCCCCATTTTAACGATTCCCATTTTAAAGATTCCCCATTTTAAAGATTCCCCATTTTTAAAGATTCCCCTTTTTAAAGATTTCCCCATTTTAAAGATTCCCCTTTTTAAAGATTTCCCCATTTTAAAGATTCCCCGTACCCCGTTCCCATTCCCATTTCTCCATTCCCCGTTCCTTTAGCCCGTTTGTACGGCTAGACCACGTTCTAGGGGTAAGTGATTTATCGCAAGGTTTTTAGCACTCTAAAACATCACAATCCCCCGTTTGAGATAAAATATTCCTTTTAGAACTCTTTCGCTAATTAATTAGTGACGTATTTTTCCCAGAAACGTAACTTTCAAGACGATTTCTCAGCTAAAATACAGGAGTGAACGAATGAATAAAAACAAACATGGCAGCCGCGAGCTACCACCCACGAATCTTAATTCCTAAATACGGGCAGACTGGTAACGTGAAACCGCTAACCGCAAACCGCGGATTGCCGTTTGCGGTAAGATGGCAAACCTCGATCTTAAGGTCTCTGGTATTACGTTTACGTCTAACGGCAAACGTGAATTTGTTCCACGTACGTAACCAAGTTTCCCCTTTCCTTGTCGTTTACTTTTCATTATTTCAACACATATATTAGTAGTTTCATGCAATTTTTTTATCCATAAGAATTGTTTTGAGCTGTTTTATCTGCTCATTTTCTGTTTTGAGAAATTCTTAACTTGAATCTGAAGTTTGCCGTTTGCCGTATACGTGATGCTTAAACTCTTATAAGAGTCACGTTTGCGCCAAACGGTAAACGTGACTTTGTACCACAACACCAAGTTTTCCCCTTAGTTGTCGTTTTCTGTTTATTACTTGTACTCAAAAATAAGTAGTTTTACGCCAGTTTTATCTATAAGAATTGTTCTGGACAGTTTTTATCTGCTTATTTTCTATTCTGCGAAATTCTCAACCTTGAATCTGACGTTTACCGTTTGTCGTAAACGTGACTTTTAATCTCTTCAGATCTATTTTTTATCGTCTTCACCTCCATTAAACCGGTGGTCACTTTGAGTAAGACATTCCCAAAGGGTGACCGCTTAACACACGTTTGACTATATTTTTCACCCCCGAGCCTTGAGTTGATGTGTTTGTTCGGATAAATGCATGCTAGAAACATCGGTTGATATCAGTCGAAAGACATGAAGGAGTGGATTGAACAAGGGCCATGGCGCTCGTTCTTGGTAATACGCTCAGGCGTGGGTACTGCCATATATGGGCTATATAGGTATGTGCCGCTGTGAAGGGTATGGTTTTCAAGCAGTTTACTCTAGGATAGGGTATATAAATCAGAGCGTTTGGGTCTAGAATAGGGTATCATTTTTCAGGAAACTGATCAGTTGGTTGAAGATTTTATATACACTAGTGATTGTGGTATAAGGTTTTGTTTTGGCTAGACTGTGCTAGTGACCTCAGTAGTTTCTAGAAAACAGCTACTCTAGGATAGGGGGGATTTGGGGAGTTTACTCTAGTATAGGGTAGCAAAATTCAGCTGAACTAGCTCTGGTATAGGTTAAGGGTTCCAGGGTCCCAGCGGCACATCCCCACCCAGAAATTCCTAAAGTATCTCCCCTCCGGTAGGCAGGTAATGCTAACTATAACCTAAGGCCTACCTTGAAAACTGTGTGAAAAAATCTCATCTTGTTGGGGGTCCTCTAATTGAATAAGAAACGTTTTCTTATTCATATTGAATGTTTCTACCTGAAGAATGTCCACTACATATTCACGGCGAGCAAGTGGAACGTACGACCACCTTGATCTTGGAGGAACAGGGTCCGGACGATCTCCTCTGTACATGGTCCCTGGCAAGGCAAATTGCAAACCTGCAGCTTTCCACAGTGATCTTGTCTTTTCCTCTGAGTCACACAGCAGAGATCCTGGACTGCGGCTCGTTGCAGAATCATCATGGTGTAACACCTGTCCAAGGAAACGCTTTGTTGCTTGATTGTAGTTTACCGGATGAAGTTGGTGCACGTACCAAATGAGATCGAAATCGTAACATGGAACGACAAATACCCCTGGATTTTGTTTGTTGAACATGACATGGTGTTCATATCGCTCAACAGCCTTCTCCAGAAATTTAGCATCTCTGTAATGAGGCAAAGATACTTGATAGTAGAATTTGGACTGGCGGTAACACGCTCTTTCTAAATCGTATTGAATCTTAGAGTTGCTGCAATCCATCTGTACAATCTGTGATTGAGATAAATCGACGTCAAACGGCTCATCTGAGTATTCCCTTTCCCATAGGTACCTCGCTTTTTCTAAACCACGTGTGCGTTCAAGGTCCCCAAGAGGAACATGGTCAACTATTTTTGAGACACAGTTGAGGCAATCTTGTTCGTAGTTATACGGCGACAACATATGAACGTGCCACACCCATGCAATATCTAGTGGAGCGGCGAGGAATCTGCTCCCATAACCCTCTCTGGCAGCAAGAGGCAACCAAAACACTTCATATCGTCTGATAGCATTTTTTAGAGCCGACCTCTTGTAAAGCGAGGGACATTCGTCCACCTGCTGTAGAAAATCCAGTTCATTTTGAGTGGCTTGAACCAAGTCGAGGCCTAACTTCTGATAAAATCGTTCCCGAGGCATGCGAAATGGATACAAAATTGGTAACCAAGGCGTCTTTTCTTTTTTTTTTCTCTGCAAATGAAAAAAAGTTACATTGATTGACATTGGGCTGACATGAGGAACGAGAAAATACCTTTATTGCTACGAATCGGCATTGTAAAATAATCAACTCTTCAGTATTTTTCGACCCGGCCTAATTTGCTTTTTCTTGCAAGAAACCTTTAGAATACAATTAAACATGGAATTTTTTATCAAACGGAAGAAAAGAATTAAACTCCTTTAATGTGATGCAAAAATGTTTGAAACAGAATACTAGCTAAGACGTCAAAGTCACTCAATTTGAACTTTGATAAATGTCCTTAGTATTCCTGACTCTTAAAGTTGTAATCTTAAAGCTTCCTTACAGAAAACTGCAGTCAGTTAATATCATATCCAAATTCAGAATAACTTACACTGGCAAATATCACAGTATTTGACGCCATCTTTAAGGTGATGTTAGTCGAGACGATTCGCACGGACGATTTTTAGCGCAACACAGCATTGCAACATCGTTGCGACATTGTTTCGAATGGTCAGAACATTGGTCCATTATTGCTACGCTGTGTTGAGCACTCTAAAAGTCGTCGTTTCGAATCGTCCCGTGTAACATTACCTTCAGGGATAGGCAAGCAGACATGGTACATCTAGCGGAGTTCTCGCTCGCGCGAAGAGCGCGCAGCAGAGCACCATAGGTATCAGTGCATCCAAGAAATTTTGGTTGTGACACGAGCTCGTGGGGAAGGAAAGCGTGACGAAGCCCGAAGAACGTCTTTCTTGAGAAAGACTTTCTTGGAAGTTCCCACGAGGGCTTCGTTTTTTGCCTTTCAGTATATTACGAGATGGCATCCAATGCCGAATCATTTTTGCAATCAGTTTTTTTTTTGGCCATTCAGTACATTACATGGCATCCAATGTAGAACACCTTCTTAGCCAGTTTTGTGAAAAGTTCCACTGAGAAAAGTAAGGTATGAATCGCAAACTTAAGCTAGACAAATGATTTTTCTGACAAAACTTGGAGCCTCACCTGTGCTTTTATCTCTTCTTTGAATGATGTTTAATTTTGTGTACATTCGTCTCCCCTGACAGTCTCAAACAAAATTCAAACTGACTTGGGCAGGTCTACACGGCTCCATTTTTTTCAAATTTCAATTAATTTTCTCACTTGCAATCAGATTTTGTTTTCGTTTAGCTTATTACACTATTCTAACGGTAAAGGTAAAGCAAGGCACACTAAAGACAGTCGAGGTTTCCAAGAGCGACCAAAAGCAGGAAATGTGATAGCGCTACGTTCACTTTATATACCAGGCTGGGAAATCAACGCAGCCAGTTACAGTAGATTTAGCTGTCAGAATGGAACATGACGAACTTACCTTGTTGTAATAGTGCTGTAAGAACAGTCAGTGTCCTCACAGTATTTTAAATGTCGGTTCTAACTCAAGGCATTTACCACTTAAGCGAAGTCATTCACTTTGGTCCAGCTATATGGCCGCAGATATGAGGACTGTGTGAGGAGGACACTGAACGTGTGGCCTACAACACGTCACGGAAGTCACGTTCTGCTAGTAACCGGAAGTGACGCGTATTGCAATGGGGAAAAAGGGAACAAAGCTCCTGTTCAAGACCTCAAATTCCGGGACGTCACCAGCGTTTAAAACAAGCGTTTCAGCGCGAGTTCGTCGAGAAAGTTGGGACAAGAGCAAAAAAGAGGAATGAAGTGTTCTCGCTCCAACTTTTGCGCAATAACTCGATTGGAAACGCTTGCTACGCAGGCTAGGACGTCACTGATAAATACCGGACCTTTCGTTAACCTTTGTTCTGTTTAACCGGAAAATCATTAATGAGGCGCAATTCTTTTCACATAAACCTCCCATAACTATGCAACAACGAGAGGATGAAAGCGACCTTGTTATCCGGGTTTCTCCAAAGTAATCAGAAACCACGGGAACCCTGTGCATGAAAGTACGTTTTCGCAAGGTTTCGTTATGACGTGAACTATACGCTCTTTAAGAAAAAACCAATTTGTTTTTATCTATGTAGTCTAACTTGAAAGAAAGGATATAATCAGGAAATGCATTTTTTTTACCGTGCCCTAAAATTGTTACAATGTTAGCGACATATCAGACCAACCATGTGTCAATGAGATTCAACTCAAACTTCAAAGAGCTGTTGACAACAAATCTCGTCCCGCGATGGAGCTATAAATTATGGGTGGTGAATATCAAGTGACATTTGACTAAAGAGTATTTTTCGCCATTCCTTTATTAAATTTAGTAAGTCTGATTGGCTACAGGTTTACAGATAATCGATGATAAAACTTAGCTTCTGTACTTCTGGCACTCGTCTGTATTTATATGTATCTGTTGGTTACCCGTATGTACGCGTAAGTCAGTGGAATGTTACTAGAGTTCTCGTGTGTCAGTCTGTGGGTAACTAGCCTGTTCCAGGCGTTTAGTTTGTGGGTCGGGACGGCGCGAAGAGAGGGATGAGAGAGAGAAGGGTGGGGTAGGGAGTGAAGGCAAAGGAACCTAATCTCTATCCCTCTCCCTCCCCTCTCCCTCTCTTTTTCCTTATATTTTTCCCCAGTCTGACTTCGCGCCACACTCAACTATCTGAACGCCTGGAACAGGCTAGTGTGTAATTCGTATGTGGGATGGCGTTTCACTCATTATCCAGCAAGACATCACTTCCACCCGGAGCTACGAAGGCATTTAGGGTAACCGGAGAAACTACTGCATCCCGGGGGCGTAAGGCAATATTTACTGAATCTACTCTTTTTACAACACAAATCATGTTCGTAGCAGCCTCTATGCCAGCAGCAGTCGCCGCAATACCACTTCCAACAAGTACATCCGGGACCACACATTCCACGACATTTATTCGCCGTCGGTCTTGAGCAGCGCTTGTCACGGTCATTTTGGTCAGGCTCAGCTCTGAGTTCATCCGGAATCTCTACATCTGCGGCCTTGAGGAGGTTCAGACACAGGCCATGGAATGGCTCAAGGATCTTCAGGCGCTTCGTGTTGTCTGCCAACGCGGATGACACTCGCTCTAGCAGCCGCAACTCTGGCATACGGTGAAGCTCCCGAATGGCTGCTTGATAGACGCTTTCTGGAGATTCGTATTCATCTTCAACTTGTATGTCATTGGAAAAGGCTCGCAAAGCTTCTGGCGTACGTGGAACGTCATCTGGTACGTAAATCATCGAAGCGCCACGGCTGAGAGACAAGTTTAAATAAAAAAACAAGTGAAGTAGGGTCTTGAAGGGAAGGGGAGGGGAGATCCGCAATCCCGCTTCGTTTTCTCGAATTTCTAACTCTATACACTGTCTATAGTTTGTTTCATAGGAGACACCACTGAAAAGGAAATTGATGGTGCCTACACTAGAATGTTTCGCACAGCCCTAAACTTTTCTTGGAAGGACCACATCACAAATGAAGATTGTTTATCACGCCTTACCAGAGATGGGTTCTGGGGGTGGTGTGAGCATGTTTTAAAATAAAAGCTACTAAGTGTGGATACTTTCCCAGCTACTTACTGATTAAAACGCAGAAGCTTATAAAAGGATGTACAAATTAAAGCGGTTTTAACCCTGAATCCTTGTGAACAAAAATCAGTATGCGGAAACTCTTTGGCAGAGTAGCTATCACATCTGGTTTTGAAAGAGTTTGAAGGAGAGACAAAATTTTGTCCTAACATTTCTAGATTTCCGATCTTCGCATGTGAGCTAAAATATTTTAAAAAATTTGAACCGCATGATTATATACAACTTGCTAGTTATAAGAAATATTTACCCGGTAATAAAAGCCTTATCTAAGACTTGATAGAGGAACATTTCTGGTCCAAGCTCTTGGTAGTAGACAATTCCTTCCCCCGAGGACTTCTGTATCTTTATGGAGCCTTTCTTCACATCAAAGCAAACTGCCAACGTCTGATTGTGCTTGTAGCAGCCTCTAACCTCGTCCTTGGAAGAACTCTTTAATTGAAGACCTTCCTCGTCGGCTGTAGAATACGACCAGAAAAGTGCAAAGATGAAAGTGATGAATATGGCTGGGTGATTCATCTCTACAGGTCTCGCGAACTGCGTTTCACAAAGTTGTAAGTGTTCACCACGGAGAGTTGAGATTTATGTGCGCACCGAACGGAGAATATTGGATTTTTGGTAAGCTTTTGGCCGCGCCTGTCAGATTATAATCACTACTTGTCTTTTTTCGGTTCATTTACTGTATTTACTTTCCTTATGTTAATTCCAATTATCTGACTTCTAATAGCGTCAACTGTTGATACTGCTGCAGTTTCGTAAACTCGATGCTGAAACAAAAAAATATCATGATGATAATAATAAATAAGCAAAAAAAATTAATAACAATTTGCCGCTCATATTTACTCCCTTTGGCGTCGTTTAAAATTAAATTTACACAGCGAAAATCGAGAAAAATCATGTCCACCTGGCGGGCAAATCTTATTAATGAATAGTTTCTCAGGACTGGATTTTAATCATCGCCTGAGTAGAATTTTCAAAGGGAATAAATTTTTTGTTGAACTTGTTCAATATCCAAGGTAGCACTGTTTCTATGAGCATTTTAAAACAGATTCCATACCAGATAATATAAATCTCTTGTTTACAATCAAGAAAAATGTTATGTTAAAAGTCGACGAAAATAAATAAGTCTTCATAAGATGTTAATAAACGTTCCGCTAAATCGTGCTATATACACAGGAAGAGCTAAGCATTTTTGACTTATAGGTAGCTTTTTTTCTTTTGTTTAACTTCCTGTGTATTTAAGAAATGAATCATTCAAACGTTATTGTGAAATCAAAACACTTCATACACTAAATGATAATCTAATCACACGAACTCAAAGATATTTACTTCTGCCAAATTGAACACAGGGAAGCGACACACACAAAACACATGCACTCAAAAATAAACGCTACACTCCAAACACGAATTCTGAAAACACTGAGTTGGAGCTACAGTCAAGTTGCAAGTTAATTTAGTTAACACGCGACGGACTTTTTGGTGCTGAAAAACTTCCTGTTTTCTGGAAAATGACAGAACGTCACAAGAAAAACGCATAAGCCAATATAAGATTTCATGGCATTTTTTCTTCGGAGTCGTTTAACAATCATACGCTTGTCGAAAAGCTTAATAAACCTGGTCTATGATATAAATTAGTTTAAGGACGGACCAAAAGCTAAACCTTTGCATGAATTTTATTTCATTATGAATATTTTTAGGGTTAATTGGCGTGCATGAATTTTTTTTCAAATTAGTTTATGCATTCTTTAATAATTTTTAAAAATTACAAGAATGTAAAATCATCGAAAACGAACCCGTTAATACATTAAATCAAGAGAGGATAAAGCTTTATCCTCTTACGAATAAATAAATCTATCAATTAATCACTTCTAAACAATCAGCTGCCCATTTTGAGGAATAACAAGAAGCAGGAATAAATATGAAATACACAAATCCTCGTACGGTAACTGTCGCTATAAGGTCTTATAATAAATCTTTCCCTGACGCATTTAAGGGCTCAAATTGCCTGTTATGAATTAAATGGATATTTGAGGCCTGTAATGCTTAAGGCAATATTTCATGAGGGTTTTGAAAATTTCCAAATTACAAAGATTTGTATGGAAAACCATGCAAGTGTGACTGGATGGCAAAAGTTGTTTTTCCCACACAAATGCTTTCTACTTTCGGCAACCGTTGCAATCGCTACTTTTGAGATATACGGCTGAAAATTCTTGGGGTACCTAATATTGATATGCTCTTTGAGCTTGGTTTAACAAAATTGAACTGTTTTCGTGTTTGCCGAAAGTTGATCACGTGATCAAGTCACGCGAAGAGCCTATTCAACCTTTCCTGAGCGATTTGTGAACAATTTAAGCCAAAAAAAGCCCCAACAAAAGCCTATTCCATTCCTCGGGTCCAAATCAGCCCTGGTAATTTGACTGTTTTGGGCCTTATTAAGGGAGCCACATTAAGCCCCTAAAAATATGACTGTATTTCACTCACCGAAACGGCGGCTAAGGCTTCATGCAAACGGATGCAACAACTCCCAACGATGTTGGGACCTGCAGTGCATCGTGGGAAGAAGAATTGACCAAAAACACTGCAGCAATATCCTCGTGGCAGAGCCCCTTTAAAACAATTATTTAATTCGATGAAACGGACGAAAATTGTTGGATGCAAACATGTTTCGTCCGTTTGCAAGGATCAAAAACATGAGGTTGGACGTTGTTGCGTGTTGTTGCGCAAAGTTTGAAACCGGTCAAACTTTTCAGCCAACAACTCCCAACATTTCTTTTGTTCCGTGATCGGGCGCCCACATCGATAATAGCGTGAGGTGTTGTAGTTATTTGGGGGAATATCGACCATGACGGGATATGAAGTGTTTCATCATTTTAATGAATAAATCCACTTTCAAAATACCTCATTCAACGTTAACGTGTCTATGTTTTTATTTGACAAAATGTTTAACCTTGTAATAATAACAAATTTTACCAATAAGAACGTACTGATAATTTTTTGAAAGACTATGATGTGTTAATGTCATTTCACGTTAAGCAGCCACAAATTTATTTTTTTTACTTGGACTTAAACATTCCAAAAAAAAAAAAACAGAGAGAGACGATCATGCTAGTATGATAAATGTCCCAGTATGTAAACTACTGATCCAGACAGCAATAACACATGAAAACCAATTTGCAACTGAATGTATTCAAGCACTTCTTGTATCGTATCAGAAATTCACCGAGGTAATTTGTATTTAATGAACATTTGGAAAAAGCGAAGCGATATAAATGATAGCAAATACTACATTCCTTTCGCGGATGGATTACTGGCTCGAACTACTCGAACTAACCACGAAGAATGAATTACTGAATTTTCATAGTCTGCCCTTTGTATCTCTATCCGCCGCTAGCTATCCAAGAGCCTTTCACGCTGGTCAACAACAGCTTCTTGAGACAAACGGCCCCGCGAGGCGGAGTGGTCGGTTACAAGTGTTACCTGGGAAAGACAAAAACGAGAAATGCGATAAACAATGTTTGTATTTTTAGTGGAGAGCTGGAACTAGCTCGCAGCCGAGGCTAATGTGGAAAATTTTGTTGGATTAAAAACGTTTGCAAGAGAAAAAGACTGCTACCTATGGGTAATTGAATTCCCTACTCGAGCTCAAACACAATGAACCTGACTACACTTCAAAATGTGTTCAAATACATGTCTTTTCTGTGTAGCGCCAGGGAGACCTTTGCCGACCAATACCGACAGCGCTTCAAGGTCACACGAAACACTTTAGAACCATGGTTACAAAAAGAAATTCTTCACTTGATGATTTGTTGCTCCACAGAAAAATTGATTTGCATGTAATCATCAGCATTTAGACCAACCTTGTTAAAAACTCCGCGACCATAGTATTCTGCTACAACAGAAAATCCATCTTGCGCTCTTTCAAGCTACAAATTAAATCACAATTATTTGATATCAACATCCTATGGTGCGACATCCAACAAAACAGGGTGATTATTGAGATTCTGTTTATGCAAACGATAATCAGAAAATGTCCCACAAATTCCCTACGAAAACGACTTCTAAATCCAAGTCAGACCTCGCTGCGAGAATTGCATCCTCTAGATATCGCGTTACATCACACGACCGCCAAGAAAAAAAATTCGACGCCCCTTCAGATCCGATATGAACAGAAGTTGTCTTAAAACTCTGGATTGGTTGAAACCTCTCGACCTATCAAAAGTTAAAACCAAAAATAATCGCGACTTGGTCGCGTGCGCTTTCCCGCGCTTGGCGCAGGTACAAGTCAGATCTGCTTCAAGTTCTGATTGGTGCAGTGAATTCTCGACAATACGTCGTTTCTGAGTTAACCCAGGCCTCTGTTTCAAAGCGAGGTTAAGTGCGTAACCATTGATATGAAAATGACTTTTTTTTTATTCTCATGCAAATAAAACTTGTTTTGCACGAAGCCTTGTGTTGAAAGTGAGAGTTTTTGCAACTCGGAAATGGTTTATGGAGAAAATGCTCGAGACACCCCTTCACCATTGGATTGGCATTAAGATGTGGCTGAGAGACCTCAACGACTTGTAACGACATGAGTCTACGATGACTCGACATTGATATGAAGCGAAACGACTCTATAACAAAACGAATGTTTTTGGTTACCTGATGGTGAAACTGCTCGTGAATATCTTTAGCCTGCTCTTGTTGACGTATAATATCAAGTACTTTCCTGTCAAGTGAACAACAAAGGTCACCATGGAAGAAGACTCAACGAATACGTTTAAAAACAAACAAAGAAAAAACATTTGTTGAAGCTTGGCGGTGAAACAAACTAGTCTAAACTGCCGGCAGACTTTAAAACCTGCGAGCAAGCTCTCCAACTGGGGGAGTGGCTAGAAGTCACGCGACAGCCGCATGCAAAAGCAGCATAATTGGAGACCTTGCTCGCAGGCTAGCAGACCTGGAGAGTAGGACTCAAATCACGCAACACGGATTCTTGTAGGCGATGTTATGTAGTGAGCAACATCAAAACTGGCCGACTGAAAGTCACGAACCACACACTGCCAAAAGACGACAAAACGGATTCTGCCAGAACATGTGCCAAATGCTCATACTGCTGAATACAAGGTAACGCAGGAACTTGTATATTGGAGTACGTTTAGTAAAGTTGTCTTGCACTGCATCACTAGTTACAATCCTCTGACGCGTGAGGCGCAAATGATCTCCACCTGTATAATGGTTTTTAAGCCATACCAATCATACAAAAGGTTCCTTTTCATTCACTTATTTTTTATCTACGAAGTCTGAATCTACGATTACCACTCCACTAGACTACTCAGGTTACTTAACCTGGTTTAATAATGGCTAAAATAGCGATTTACCATTCCCCTGGACTAATCTAAATATACTTAACCAGTCTCACAGCAAAGAGCCCAAAAGTGGGACCTCCTTTAATTAACTCACATTCTTTCATACAGACATTATCCAATCAGAAGTCGGACAGTTAACAAATCAAAAAGAGCCCCAAAGCTGACCTCCTTCAATGATTGCAATTAATTCTTTCATACAGAAACAATGTGAATAAATTGGAAAATCGGTCGAAAAATGTGAATAAATTAAAAGCGGTCACACTTTTGGCCTCCTTGCTGTAACTATTGTATGAACATAGATTACCATTTCACTTGGCTAGTTTAAATAGTTAACCAGGTTTAAATATCCGTGGGAACGAGGATCGATGGGCTGACTCCAAGAATCAAAAATTTTTAAAGTACCTGTTTTCAGGAGCGCATATTGGACATTCGTTATCTGATTCAGCATATCCTTCAAAGCAGCTGGCAAATTTAAAAAAAGTCAGATATCAATATTCTGAAGGCACAGTGTAGAGACGTACGCCGGTGCTTATGGCATTCGTATTTGTGGACGACCTTCAGAAAAGGCAAAACCTACAAAGCTATCTACGCAGGCTTGATCACACTTTCATTAGTTAACCACACTGCTGCGGGGAAAATGTCATCATTTTAAAATTGGCTAAGCTTTTGGCCCGTCAATTTCGAGATCTTAAGTTCAATGCGCTAAGACGACTGTTTTCGCACACATGTGTCCCAAGGCCCAACACCTTAACCTTTTATCTGACACCATTTTTGAAAGAGGAGAAAAGCTGTTCCAAAGCTTATTTAATTAAACATGCAAGGTAAGTTTAAGGGAGCACTGAAGTTAATGAGTTGTTCTGGGGGCGATTAAAAGATTAATTAAACATGCAGGTAGTTTGGAGAGAAAGCTGGAGTTGTTCTCGGCGAACTCTTACGCTTCTCTCGTGCTCTTCAAACTTCCCGCGTGCATCATTAACTCGCACCCTAAGCATTAATCAATTCTTGAATAAACCCCGCTTATACTTACATTTGGTGGAATGAATGCTGGCAAAGGAAATGCACTGCTGGCAAATCCAAAGGTCGGGAACACACACTGCATTTTGCACCTTGAAATATCTTTGCGCTGAAAACGATAAAGGGCCTGATTGAGAAAAGCATCCCACCCACTACTAAGGGTGTGTTTCAAAAAAATCATTAATTTTTGTTCTATAAGGGTTCGTGAATTACAGCACTCGAAAAGGATTTTTCAACCCTTGTAATACAAATACAAGAACGAGAAGGGTGTAACTTTGGAATTTCAAGTCAGTTATATCCTTATCCATCCGGAGCGTTCCTATCCTCTCACACAGAGTGATGTTGCCTCATTTTACAAGTGGAACTAGGCAAAAAAAAAAATCGATCTTGACTGGGTTGGGACTGTAATAGGAAACGTTAATGGTGTTCATCAGACCATGGTAATGATACTAAATAGATCAACTTATCAACGGAGAGCGAACAATGTCCAAAAGAACAAGTTCGTAGTTGAAATCTGCCTACTACACAGAGGCTTACTGAAATGTTTTGATAAAGTCAACTCTATCTAAGACAGATACTTTTGGGACAGACACTATGTGTACGTGTCAGTGAGATGTCCATCTTAAAGATAGTCGACTAAAAGTAGTAAAGAAAGGCGGGGACAAACGTTAGCTGTCCTTTTATATGGTTTTAGTCCAAGTGAAGTGTTAGACTTAGAGAGGTGTCCGTTACGAGAGAGTTGACAGTATCCGCTGCATCACAGACACACAGACAGACGCTTTATTTCAACACGGAGTTTCAACCCAGAAGCCAAAAGATCTACATTTCTCGATTGCATCCACTTTTTACAGCGGATTGTCCTTACATCAAAAGAGAAAGTGCTTCGGAGCCGCTACGGAGGAGATAGAGAGAAAAAATACGGTTTTATACTCCAGAAATATCAAAATGTGGTCTGGATGTAAACAAGTGACGCCCGCCTGCACGAGCAGAAATTTAATCCTTCAATGACGCCGCAAGCAACCCATGACCGAGCGATTTTTTCGTTAAGTGTAGTAACCTAGCCCTACCTTGTCTTCAGTTCTTTAATTTCTTTTCGCATTTTGTCAGTTTCCTCACGATATTGCCGTATATAGCGCTCGTCCTGAAACGCAAATAGGGTGGACTGTTGTTGTACTTCATATGTAAGCGAATATAAATGACTGAAACATCTTGGGTGAAGTGGGATTCACAAAGACACGCATTTCATCAAAAATAACGTCTTCGGTTTTGAAGCAGAAGCAGTGAGCTCTTTATATTTGAAACCTTTCAAGAAAGTGAGTGGCTGAAAAAAAGCACTTTATTCGAGTGTCAATGTATTTAGCACGAAAGCACTGATTGGGGACACTATATTGTAGGTCTCCAACAGGAGACGGGACCGCCATTTTACGTGATCATCCGAGCCACGCGAGGGTCAGTAGCCATTTGCAGGGCAAAGGCAGTGCCTTCATTTCTAAGTTATTTTAAGACCCTGAGTGTTGGTCTGGCCCTGGGAATCGAACCCGCGACCTCCCGCTCTGCAGTCAAGCGCTGTACCGACCGAGCTAATCTTGCATGCCTTTAGTATTTAGTGAAACTAAAAGTGCTACAGCGATGTGAAGGGTGAAGGGGGAGGGGGAAGAGGAGGTCCCGAGGAGTGGCTACCATTCTAAAGAAATCATTTCGTTCAATTTAGGTAAAAAACACTAAATGTTTACTTACACTGGCGATAATCTCATCTTCTAGTTGCAAACGATGAATAATGTAATCCTAAAAATAGAAAATGCTGTCTTCTCAAACTGACTGGTACAAAAGAAAACAAATCTCTGTCAAAAAAACAAGCAACATCGGTGACAAAAAATAAGCGTTTGTTACCTTGACAACAGCTAACGTCGCTGTAGAGTTGTGAGCTAGATTTTGAAGCACAAGAAGTGGCGACATAAGATTTCCACGATCGATGTTTGACTTGTCGTTAAGGAAATATCACTTGTATTGCACCGGTCGGTCCTTTTTCGTTTAAACTATAGGGACTTTCATGTTAAAATATAAGTGAGACATTCTTGATATTGCCAAAAGCAAAGACAATTACTTTAAAATCAAAATAAATGCTCGGATATTTTTTGTTGACTGACCCAAGTAACCACGTAGATTGCTTTCACCTATGAGAGACTGGAGTGAAGCGAAATTACATTACAGTGCTTTGTGATTGGCCATAAAATTTGGAGTCACTGTCCTGAGCTCTTAGGAGTGAAACCAAACCCAGCGTTGGTTCGTTCAAAAGCGATTTACTGCACCTGGCAGAGCTAAATGTACCTGTAAGGAGTTGTGTTTGGCGTAGTGGATAGTTTCACACAGTTGTGATTGCCTTAAAGGTGATGTTACATGAGATGATTCGCGACGACAATTTTTAGCGCAACACAGCGTTGCAACATTGTTGCCACATTGTTTCGAATAGTTACAACATTGTTCCAACGTTGTAACGCGTGTTGCTGGAAAAATTGTCGTTGCGAATCGTCCCGTGTAACATCACCTTAAGGGACTAACCTGCGCAGCTGGCAATTTTGTTGGGAAACCCACGCGCGAACGAGGGGTCGCCGCGAGAGAGTTGGGTTTTTAATTTTCCCGTGGCTCCCCGGCTTGTTTGCACGCGCTCCCCAAAACAACCGCCAGCTACGCGGGATATTAGGGAGCTGTAGCAACAGCGTTTTTGAGCGACGGACGTCAACCGGAAGTGGACTTTTTGCATCATTAGGCAGAGGTTTTGTTCAAACTCTCGGGTAAATCGTCTTTATAAGAGAAAAGAATTTTAGCCTTACAAATTTGTTAGCATCAAGGCATATAGTGAGAAGGCCTCACTTCCGGTTGGTGTGCGTCGCTCAAAAACGTCTTTGCTTAAACTCCCTAATAAAGGCCCGCACTTGGTTCGGAATGATCACGTTTATTACCAACTATTATGCATCGCCTAGTTCAGTTAAAGAACGAGTGATTAAAGGAACGTTATAAAAGGATATGAGATAACACCTCCATTATCTGGGACTTGCAATCTGTTTCCCGCCGGGCAAAATATGAGAGAGCCTGCACCCACAAACTTGTGTCTAAAGTGCTGTTTAAAAAAGGCAATATGGCATTAATATTTTATACACATTCTGAGGGTAAAGTTACCCGCATCGTACTTTGCATTGTCAGAGTAAGAGCAGTGGTCTTATTTTAGAACAAGAAAAAATATGTTAGGGAATTTGTTGTGAAAAGCCTGAGAAACCTTATTATGTGATAAAGGGAACTGAGTGTGGTCTAAAAAAAAAACAACTAAAAAACCAACTCGACATTATTGCAGCTTGACATCACGTATTTTTGAGAGTGTTTTACGAGTATTATCTTTTTGTAAACTGAGCTGAAAACTAGGCCACCGTAAAAAGATTTTGAAGAGTATCGCTCGAATATCCCTTACCTTGTGCACGCGCGATACAGACTGTGCGCATAACATCTCCATAAAGACCGCGCCTGGCTTGTCGCAACATAATGAACTTAACCGAAGCGCGGGCATACCTTTCAATGTTAAATTCCTAGACTTTCACTCAACTAAACAAGGACTGCCATTGGTTGATTCTTGGTCACATGGCTTCCACTGAAATCAAATGTATCCCGATCGTGATACATTCGTCTCGGGAAACATCAGGACTCTCGGGAAAACAAAACTAACTGTTTCCCTCGGGATGTGACATTAAGTGTATAATATTTTATAATATCGAGTGCATTTAAAAAACACAGATTTACCGGTATTCATTACATGACCCAGCCGCAAAAATTTGCCAACCGTTTTCTAAGTTATGCACTTACCCATACTTCTTACACGTGTCGATCACGTGACCGTACTCGTTCTGTTCCATGTGGTAATGAAGTATTTGTTGGTAACTGTAGTTTTTTTTTTATGAGAAAAAACAAAACAAACGTACAACCATTAAAAAGAAGCTCTTGGGGGTTAGCATTAACACATGCACAAAACATAATTAACGTTACTTATGAAGAACGCACAGTCAGATAACATCGTACAAGTGCCACAGGACACCTATCCACTACTCACAGTTTGGCTTTTTCATACAGATATAAAATTCCAGCTTTGAAGTGGTGCATCTGTGCCAACACAAGGGCGTGGTCGATATCGTAGCGTGCCTAAATGGAGGGGACGGAACAAAAAGTTGGATCGCCTACGCTGGACAATCGATGTTATTAAAAAAAGAAAAAAAAGGAGCTCGGGGCGGGGGGGAGGGCAGGGTTGATCCAACGCGAACATATTAGCCTTGTCCTTGTCTATCTAGTTTAGTAGCGGCCATCCTACTTAGACTGCTTTTGACTTTCTGAGTTACCGGAAATGTCGTGATACGTTATGGGTTCTCCACGTTTAAATAGCCTTCATCATTGTACTTGAGTCAGTTTTTGCCAGTTATCTGCAACCGATGAGTCCAAATCGGAGGAAACAGCTGTCTGTTCAGTTGGGTTATTCTGTTGTGCCGTCTTCTTTCTAAATCAGTATATTTTCTGGCTTCCTACAGTGCAGAGCCTACGTAAATAAGTAGCACTTTGTTCGTGGCTTTTTTTTGACGTACTTAACTATTTATTAACACACCTCCAAATTTGTCAGCAAATCAAGGGCTTTGCGTTCATGTTCAACTTGTGCCTGCAACAAAAAGCACCAAGTACAGTTCTAAGACGATTTGGTGGCCATTAACTGAACAAAATTTGCAAAGGACCTTAGGCATCTATTACGTGACACTAAGTTGATACTTGTGTGACAAAAGGTCACGTTACCTCTATATCCTTCTGACGTGCTGCGTCGTTAAGGTACAGTTCAAGAAGAGTATTGTACACAAGGTTGGTTGATGAGTGTGGTTGCACCTAACGATATAAAGCATATTGAGGAAGTTAGCCACTGATCTATAACCATAAAGATGACACGAAGTCACCTCTCGAACAAGCCTGCATGTCTCATAGTTTTTTGTTTTTGTTTTTTTGCTTTTCTTTGTTTTCGCTTGTTCGCAAGATGTTCGCAAAATATCTAGGATGAAATAAACCGCGGACACAGGATAACCAAGCTCCCCAGACTGACCTCGTGCGTCGCGCCAAGCTATAGCGCTCCGCCGTGCGATCCATTATTTAGAAAGGATTAAGGCATCAATTTAGGTTTCTGGGAAACTGCCCACCTAACCCTGCCCTAAGCAAACATTTTGCCCTAAGTGAGAAGTAAGTGATAAGGTTGGCTTAGGGGACGGGTAGGTGGGCAGTTTCCCACAAACCTAAATTGACCCAAAAAAGACCCTCTGGCATCCAGGATAATGTTCACTTGGAGTTGAGTATGCCTTTCTGAAACGTTCCTTCCTGCAACGTTAATTTTCTACTACTCTACCAAGCAGAATTCAACAATTACGTGATTTTTAATTGTAACGTTAAATGTTCCACAATGGCTACAAGTGCGCTTGCGTTTTTCAGCGCGCACTGGCGGCTCATCAAATCGTGCACAACCGCGCCTGTGACAACGTCTCCGTCGCGGATATTATTATTTAGCTTTGTCAGTCACGCCCCTGACACATTCTCTCTATTTTCTCCTCGAGGGATCTTCTGCCGTTCTCTTTCTCGCACATTTCAGTACGAGAAAAAGCAGGACAATAAAAAGAACGAAGAAGCGAAGGAAACGTTACCTGCACCATGTGCTCAAGAAATTCAATCAGCTTAGCCTTCTGATGTACGAAAATATGGATGAACTCTTCGGCGCGTGCCTTGCGGATTTTCCTCTCTACACTCGGGACTGGATCTGAAAAGCAAATAAACGTAATATCTTGCGTTCTCATCAGTTATCACTTTCATATAATTAATAATCATTGATTATTAAAAAAGTTATAATCCAACAAAAAGAATGATAGCTAGGGCGGTGTTTATCATGTTTGAGAGAGGAGTTGCGCATTAATTACCCCTAAACTTGAATTTTTTGCTATAAGTCGTTCTTATCTGTTCAAGGTCCAGTCAGCGTTTTGCTACTTTTTTCTCACATGTTTTTCCCCTGAATTATCAGCACTTCACGCCAAACCCTGTTACGGAGCATTTTATACAACTCAGGTGATACAAGTCACGCAACAACATAACTTTGTATGTAATTGCTGACACTCAGCACTCAAAACAGGTGTTGTGGGACAAAAAAGGCAATGCCTGATTTTGTCACTCAACACCCAAAATAGGTCTCGGGGGCTAGAAAATGAACGCCTACCTAACGCAGCTGTCATGGATTGAAATACACCAGTAGTAACAGGGGTAACTGAACCAGAAACTGCACCTAAAAATGAGCAGCAGCGTTAAGTTCACCATGTAAAAATAAAAAAATGATTTGTCCAAATGAAGTTAGGGGAGTTTCATGTGGAAATAACGTTTGCGAAATGACGTCTAAGAAACGATTGCAAGAATTCCATACTGATGACGTGTCACTAGCCAGGTCTGAGTAGTGCTTTTGATTGGTTGGAGCAAATTTCCCTCGCGCCACGAACAATCAGAAGCATAATAAGCATAATACCCAGATCTGACTAGTGATACATCATCAGTACAGTCTAACCTCTCCTTACGGACACCTCTATAACACGGACACCTCTCTATTACGGACAGTTCGTTTGGTCCCAGAAATGCCAAAAATCATACATTCCCTACCTCTATAATACGGACACCTCTGTAAAGTGGACACTTGGGTCTGTCCATTTGGTGCCCGTATTAAAGAGGATTGACTGTATGGAATTTCTGCACTCATTCCTCAGACGTCATTTCCCGGCGAAATCAGTCATTGCGTCGCGAAATGTCGGCTGTTTTCCCAGGCTCGAGTTTACGAAGAGTTAGGCTATGAAAATAGATGGGAAAAGCAGCATTGAAACTGATGATAATAACAAACACTGAATGTGCCAGAGCACAGTGCTTGGCTCAAGGTCGACGTCGCTGTGCAAACTTCACTTAAAACAAAATGTTCTGAGTTTCACTTACGTTCCTGCAGGCGCTGGGGTCTGTAATCTGTACAAAGGACTTTTAATAGCTTCGTTGCTTCATCTGGCACAGCATTCACGAGGCTCTTACCATACTTTTTCATATTGTCTTCGGCCTGGAAAGTGAAACAAGCATTTGTGTGAAAAAAAAAAAAAGATTGTTTCCGCCGGTGACCTGCAAATGGGTGAAAGGATTAAAATAAAGATCGGCTAACCAAACTTAACTTGTATGTCCCTTCTCATCCTGTGTGGTTCCCGAGCCGATTCATGGCCATTTCATGGGGTTCATTGGAACAGGTTTCAACGCCAGTAGAGGACAATCCTTTTCTTCTTGCACCATAAACAATGGCACAAGTTTGAACACTTAGGCCAAACTAAACCGGATAGATTTTCGTGCCGACACAGAAAGCTATCCTGTGTAATGTGAACACCTATCCGATATGGGACTCTTCACTTTAGAGATCGGGGTGGCGTAGCTTCCATCCGTTTCAGAAATCGCGCCGAAATCACCGTTCTCATGTGTGAACAGAAGCCATTCTCGGTATGGTTTTCGTACCGATGCAAAAGCTATGCTGTATAGTATGAACAACTAGTATCCGATATGTGACTCATGATCGGGGCGCAGCTTCGCCCCGTTACAGAAATCGCGCCGAAATCACTGTTCCCATATTTGAACAGAAGCCCTTCTCGGTATGGTTTTCGTGCCGGCGCAAAAACTTTCCGGTATAGCGTGAACATAGCCTTCAATAAAGGCCGCTCTTAAGCGGAACAAAACACGTCTGTCCTTATCTGTGGTATCATGTACTACCTCCAGAACTTATTTTGTACGGAACGCAAATGTACCTCGTAAAAATCTAGTTTTCCAATGTACGACAAAGCTCTTTGATAATCTTTGAGATCCTCCAGTTGAATCTTTAAGTATCTGCAAATAAAACATTAACCATATGATTTTTAAGAGAGGTCAACGCCAAGGTATAAAGAAACCCCAAAGTTTGCTTTGTAAAACAGTGAAAAACCAAAAGCACAAAGCAACAGCACTTCCATGGAGTTTTCACTTCAAAATTCACACTGGAGGACTTCTTCGATTCAATACATGCCTTTAAAAATCATTGATACTTGATGTCAACTAGAAAATTGCAACAACAATCTGATAATACTCAGTACCCACGGTTTCTCATAAGACCCGCTTTCGTCTAGACAAATGACACTTTTTTATGGTACCTCGTGGCCACGCGAAAATGTGGTCCTAAAACGTGTATCTGTGTTGGAACAAAACAGAGGTAAATTGAAGACACGCTGTAATTCTTCGGATGCTTTTGGCTGACTTTTGCTGATGTTTTGCGTTAAGAACTTAAGAGTCCGATTTTTCTACGCAGCACTTACAAATCATGTTGATCATATTTTTCAGCCAAGTACACGGCATGTTTGAAATATCCAGCCTGACGGCAAACCTGAAATAAAAGGAATTCTAAGTAAGTTATAAGCTTATACATCTTGGCTGCTTTGTTATGAGATACAATCATCATATTTCGTTCAAAACAGACTGTAATGGTAAAATTATTCAAGACAAAAAAAAATGCACTTTTTGAGTGTCAATGTATTTAGCACGAAAGTGCTAATTGGGGACACTATTTTCACGTCTCCTACTGGAGACGGGACCGCCATTTTACGTGGTCATCCGAGCCACGCGAAGGTCTAGCCGCTTGCAGTGCAAAGGAAGTACGTTCATTTCTCAATCATTTTAGGACCCTGAGTAATGGTCCGGCCCCGGGAATCGAACCTGCGACCTCCCGCTCTGCAGTCAAACGCCCTACCAACTGAGCTAATCCTGCCACGGTTTCCTGAATTGTTTCAGGAACGGTTTCCTCACGCTAATCCTGCCACAATCATTATTATTTATTATTTGCCATCAACTTTACAAGAGTTCGTAAGTGCTATAGCTTGCGAACAGCAGACGCATTTCCGGTCGTCGACGGTCTGCTGTTCGCAGGCTATAAGTACTACCGAGATTCAAACAAAGGCTGGAGACCTTAGCTAGCTTTTCTGAGCTATTCGAAAAACATCGCCGAGTTTACAGTTACCAGTGTTCAATCGCAATGGATGGCTACAAACCTCTAAAAACTCACAGCATTCATATCTAAGTAGGAATGAGGGGAGTTTTTGTACGTCATTCCCACCCTATTTGTGTGTGTGTTTCACTTTTCTTGTGCTTAAAATGCGTTTTGGTAGTAAACTTTGCGCAAAATGCTTTAAGAACTGTTTAAGTCAATGCGGACCAACCTCACAACTACAACACTGCCACTAGCGGAACCTGGTACAGTATTACATGACCATAAATACGGAGCTTAAGCAACGATGTCGGCGACGGGAACAAGAACGGCAAAAAAGCAACAGCCTTAGATTGGCAAAACAACAACTTCATCACGCCTTTTTGTCCACTTCTTTGCCGTCGCTGCACGACTACAACGTGAAAGTGCCTAATTTCACGTTCTGCCGAGGACGTGAACACAATAAAACGACTTTCCTTTTCTTTTCCTGAACTTTTGAAACAGTCTGTAGAATTCACCTCTAGAAAAATTTGCCAGCATTTGACGAATCGAACGAGATGGAATAAGCCCGAGAAAGTTTGAGGCAGCCCGAATTCACTTTAAGTGATGTTTCCGTAGCCGTCACCGTCGTTATTGCTTAAGCTCCCAAATAATACTTCACAAACTTTTCTATACGCAACTATACCTTGATTGCAGTTTCCACATCGAAGTTTAATTCCTTATCAGTCTGCAATAAACAGCAGATTCATCACTGTTTGAACACAGAGTGGTGACGAATGTTAATAACGGTAACAAACGATGCCGTTTAAAACCAATGCACGCAATTTAAACACCCTACAGGCGACGAAATGTTACGACAGATGTTTGCAGTGGCAACAAGAGTTTATAATCGGTCACTTTTCAACCCGTAACTTACGCGCGTTCCATTTCTTTTTTGACCGCAGGCTAGGTTTTCCATATGAACAAAGCTCTTGAAGAGGCGAAACCGTCAATAAACGAAACGCGCGGTGAGTATGAAGGCCCAGTGGTCACAAGACGATAATCAGATAACAGTAAAATGTTCTTTTTTTCGTTGAATTATTTGGCCTGTGTGCGAACATGTCACTCGAGAGTGGAGGAAAAGGATGGGTGAGGGTGAGTGGGGAGGGGGAAGAGGGCACTCTTTATACCATCTACCACCCCCTAAGAAGAGAGCTTGCTCGCAGGATATAAATCTGTACGCGCATACCATGATGAACTCATCCAGCATGGAGACGTCTTTGAGCTTCGTATAGCAATTGAGAAGCAGGGTAGTATGATCTGTATTGGCCAGTCCTTGTTTGTGCAGTGCCTGACAAAACAAAACAAAACAGGACACCAAAAAGCAAGATATAATGATATCTTCAGCCACCATTATTCTTCCTTACTTCAGCCTGATATTAACAAACGAGGAAAAACTCTGTTGGTCAGACCGTGATCAGTGACGGCCAGCGTTTAGACCTTAGAGACGGAACAAAAGCTACGAGATGTAAGTCCTTTATGTTCTTTTTCATTCATTTCACTTTTTGGGCATTTTGTAGGACCGACCTATGATTGGTCGATTGAGAAAATAGCATTACTAATTCTCTAAGGGATCAACCGTAAAATAATTTTCAAAGACAATCCACGTGCAGTAATAATTCCTCAGTTTTCTATGTAACTACCATCTGTTGCCCTATATATTAGAAAACGAACATGCCGTATACGTTCTACAACAAGGAGACCAGACGACTGCATATGTTGTATTTGTACTGACATTCAGCGTGTCCTGGGAGCTACTGAAGAGATGCCGGGGCCAAGTTAAGTCGTTTCGCTTGCTTAAGATCGCAGCAGTTGGAAGAAGCGCTTACTCAACAGCGCCGTCTGATAATAGCGATTATTAATGAGTGGACTAGCCTCTCACGCACGCGTTCTTAGGGCTTTGCGATCGTTCCTGCCCCACGCGTGACGAAGTCCTAAGAATGTCTGCAAAGGAGACTATGAGTAGCCTGTACACGGACGTTGTTTTCTTTTTCTTTTCGAAAATCGACAAGCGCGCGGGAGCGAGCGCGGAAAGCTCGCTGTCAATTAATCCACCGCGGTTTTTATTTTCATACGCGCGCGCTCCACGATCTCCAAGGCGAGAATAGAGGGTCTGTGAACAGGCTAGACTATGAATGGACTGCTTATTAATTTAAAATGTTTTTCTCTGACAGATGGTTAATTTTATTTACAAACCTGGAGATAAGCGGTGAGGTTGTGAATTCTTTGTGCATCCAAGAACTAAAACAGGGAATAATAATGTTTTATAAAACAATTTCTACTGTTTAACAATCAAACCTGTATTAAGCGAATCTCTATAAGCCCTCTAAAAACCCCTGACGAAGATGAATAAGCCCAGGGCTTATAAACGGTAGTTTATAAGCTTTATAAGTTTATACCTCCCGTCGTTGTTAAGAGCTCTACTAAAGCTATGTAGCTCTAATACAAGCAATGGATGCTAAATGAAAGATCTGAGTGCAGACAGTTTAAAGATACATTTTGAAGGAAAAGTTTACTCGGTTACCGGTCGTTTCGATACAAGTTTATTCAGTCGAGGTGTAACTACTAGTTTCAAGTACAAGGCTTAAAGATCGAAGAATATTCACCCAAAATCTTTTCCTTGTTCACGCGCAAACTAAACTTAGAGTGATCAACGTTTTTTTGCAGTTTCACAGCCTGAGTTGAAACGACTTGTATCGAGACGACTTTGTATCGAAACGACCGGTTTCCCTGGGATCAACTAAATGAACTGTCTAGGATTAACATAGTAAGAGCCTTGGGCCTGTTTACATGGAGGTGGGAGACCCCAGGTAGCTGGGGTAACCCGCCTGTCTATATAATCTCGCATTTTAATTTGATCACGTTTACACGATAGGTGGGGTGACCATATGAGAGATTATATGGACAGGCGGGTTACCCCACCTAAGCGTGTCACCTCACCTACCTGGGGTCTCCTATGTCCATGTAAACAGACCCCAAGTCTAGTATTTAGTATTTAGTGGTGAGTTTCTCATAGTTGGCTAATTGCTGTTTGCTTACCTTCCGAATGACGTAGGATGGTTCCAAATGGCCAATGGTTTTGATGTACTGTTTTATGGCTCCATCGTGATCTCCTTTGCTAAAAAAAAATTCGAACTTTAGCAACATATGAAACATATTACTAATTACATTAATCCACTAGCTGTTTAAGTGTTTGTTGAGAGCACACCTTGATATTATCTGTGATCTATACCTAAAGAGAAAAAAAACACTTTGGGTATTGTGAAGAACAACTCCCCTAAACCGACTGTCGGCTAACAGTTTACCGAGTGTTCCCACTACGAGCATTCACCATCTGTCCACCAACAGTTGGCCGATAGTCGGCACAGATAACTATATAATTACATATTTTTTTTATCTGCGCAGGTGGAACATGATCTTCCTGGTGATTATCTGTGCAGTAGCCATTGTTAGAGTCAAAGTTTATAGTTGTGTACGTTCAGTTGATGGTATTAAACCCTAGTTATTGGAAGGTCAATTAAGTTGCAAGGGTAATCTTTCCTTATAGCACCCCCAGGACACGTGAAACCTCACTCAGTTGCCGCCAAAACCATCCTCGGAGACCCAGGGGCAGTTAGTCGGGTCGATAAAATGTTCGTGGTGAAAGTTTTCTGTAAGATCGAGACGAGTACATCGTCTCGATCTTACAGAAAACTTTCACCACGAACATTTTATCGACCCGACTAACTGCCCCTGGGTCTCCGAGGATGCGCCAAAACCTGACAGAAGTAAATAATGACGAAAGTACAAGTCGACTCTTCCTTTCACAAATTGCTGATAGGACTAGCTTGAGAAAACAGCCGACATTCCGCGACGACTCAATTGGGTTTCCCGCGAGACGACGTCTGAGGAACGAGCGCAAAAACTCCACACTGATGACGTGTCACTACCCAGATCTGGGTGGTGCTTCTGATTGGTTGAAGCAAATTTTCAACCAACCACTTCGCGGAGAATCCGATCGTGGCCTCGCGAAAAGTCAGCTGTAATTTCTCACGCAACGTCAGGACCGACAAGTGCTACTGAGTAAATACTATTCCATCTTTGAAAGGTGTCGCTGCCTTACTGAAGGTCAGAATAAACGACTGATGAACGGCAGGAATTAACTTTCATTGCCCATTATAGGTGCTGTTGAGAGAACAGTTTTCTTACCTGTACAAGTGGTCT